ACTACACACACATGTAAGCCGAAATTGTACTGTCCCCTCGATAGCCCAGTAAAACTGTACCGGTCGTAATAATATTTAATATTTATTAATTAACCATATTATTTTTAACCATACTATTTTTGCACTGTTCCAAGAATTACCTTGCACTGTTTTTGTCCTGATTTATTTTCTCTGTTTGCAGAATTTTGCACAGTTTTGATTACTTGATTACATGTTATTTATGTTATATTATTACATGTTACTGTTATTGTTTTTGTGTTACCATCTATTGTCTTACCTTCTGTCCTTTTTATATACTGCACCTGAGTGACTAATGAGAAACACTTTTCATAATACTATGCACCTGTGTAAGTTTAATGACAATAAAGTTGAATTGAAGTTGAATTGACTGAATTAAGCAGAAAACTTTTAGAAGGATAAATCATCTTTCTGCAAAAGAGTACTTACACGACTGTTTGTAGCAAAGAGGTAGCTGGATTTAACTCACTAAATGCTGAAAGGCCTTTGTAGCTGACTCGATTTCCTTCAATCCTGTCAACACAACACAAAATAAACAAGCTAATCAAATCTACAATTTTAAAAGGAATTATTTTTCAATTGCCATTCACTCAAAAACAAAACCCTTTGAACTGAAAAATACTTTATATAAAATGTACAATACAGTACCCAGTCTATACTGTCTGAGTTATATAAGTATTAAAACTGGAAACTGAGACAACATAATGGTTTATTGTTGAGTTTATAATGAAATACAGGTATATACTGTACATTTGAAGAATCTAAAACTGAAGAATTAACAATTAATTGAAATATAATCTATATATATATATGAGACAGAATAAAAAAGTAAAAAATAAATTTGCTTGGGGATACCCTGGATAAGAATAAGGGCCAGAAAACTTTTTCAAATTTAACTGATCATTCAGTCATGCTATTCTTTCATTATACCATAGAAAAAATTAAATCTACTTTTCATACATGTTAATGATGAGGCAAAACATTATCAGAAATAAATCTAATCTTAGCTTTCATTTAGATATAATGGCATTTCTCCCTACGTCTTTTGGACATCATAAGCATGGAGAGAGATGATTACACCTGGAAACCATATTGTGCTCTGGGTTTTCTCAGTGAATCGCACACTGCACATGCATCCCTGGGATAATTGTCTGAAATACCCAGCCCCGGATTTACAAACACCCAGCCTTTCGCTATAATGAAGCCTGCATTTTAGGATTTGATTCTCACAACATAGGTGTTGGGGTTGCCAGATGGTTGTTTTTTTTAAAGGATTTGTGTAGTCGGATATCTGGACAAAATTAATGGACACAATGAGGAATTCAGCCATTTTCATGTTAAGTGTGTGTTATTGTAATTTATTTTGTAGCAAACAAATCATAAGGTAATGTCCCTGGACACCTCCACATTAACTGCAGTACACGTGACATGGACCATCACAAGACAGCAAGCTCATCATTGCCAAGTCATACAAAATTACACATCTAAGTTCTCTAGAACTAAGCCGTGCCTGAACAGGAGACTCCATCCTTGTAGTGTGACCTCTCACTATAGGCTCTTACACTACAAATTTTATGTTCATAAATCAAGTGACAGGAATACACCAAATTGTGATAATCTTGATCTTGAAATATGCCAAATGCAGTGGATGTCAACAGTAAATGTACTGTAAACAACAATCAAAAGAGAATTTTCACACACTTTTCACACAGACTAATTGTGTGACGTCTCAAAGTAATTTTCTAAACCTGAACTAATCTGGGTGTTCCATAGGGTTTGAACATACGCAATCAACAGATCTTAGTTTTTCATTTTTCTATGTGGTTTTAACTTCTTCCTTAAAAGGCTTCAATTTGAACATTCATTGTGTTTAAAATATTAACAAGTACAGCACTTGTAAGTACTCAGAATTATTTAAAATGAGTGAATACTTTTGCAAAGGACTGTATCAATTTGGATACTGTCAGTTTGTATCATAATATATTTGGTATTTTCTTCATGCAATTCTGTAAATATCCTGCTGCAATAAAGTTACAGAAACCCTCCGTACATACCATAACTCCCTCAGAGATCGGTTTTCATTCAGAGCCTCAAAGAGAACCATTAACTCCTCATTGCCAATATCTGTCCATCCAAGACTACCATCAAAATGAAAGACAAGAATTAACATCAATGAAAATAACAAAATTTCCGTTCAAAAAGTAAAGATAACATCGCATGAGAGATAGGTGTCATAACTGTACAAAAATAAATCATATTTATAAAACACATGAATAAAAAGCTCACAAACCAGACAACCACCACCAAGAACAAGTAAATAATTGATAAACAGAGAGCATATAAACTGTGTTAAAACTAGTTTTAAAGTGTACTTTCAAGAATTGTCTATTCAGAATCATAGGCTTTGGAAGAAACGTGTCTGAATATTTTAACTGTCTGTGATGAACGTTACAGCATGAAAGGGGAACTGCAACTCTATTTTTATGTTTCAGGGTTATAAAAAATCATCATTGATTCTTTGCAACTCAAACCACAATAAAAGTAAAATGTACACATGTAATGTGTAAAACCTCCAATTTACATCACAAAATACATGACATTTCCAGGTATGCCCAGCACCATATTCTGTGATTCAGAACGAGGCAACACAACGTCCAGTAAGGTGAAGCAGCCCTATTACATTGTAAACACTGTTCCATCTATTTTAATCTAATAGAAATACTGCTTTCAATTTCAAGACAGTTTTGCTGATAAATGGAACTTACTTGTTAACACTGCATGCAGATCATGTTGGAAACCTTACGAGGTGAAATACCTGCTGCACAGCCTGTACTTAATTCGCTCATACATCGCATTACATTAGTCATTACAGTGACTAGTGAGCAGGAAGGGCCGTATCACGTCGCAATTCATGGGAAGTTTCATTCTTGCCTATGGTGAGACCAGGGGTTTGCGACTTACAGTACTTTCACTAAGTTCACGATTTTGAACTTAATTCTAAATTTCTAAAATTTTCATATACCATCAATGAATTAATTTTGGTAATGAGATTTAATAACTGTTTTGGGACTGATACAGTTTTCTTCTTATTATTATCTTATTGTTTCTTACTGAGACTGCAGTTCTCCTCTAAATAAACTAATTAAATTAAACATTTGCATAACCTAATAGTGGTGCTATTTGTAATGATTTTAATGAAACTGGGACAGCAGTTCTCCTTTAAAAACAGTCAGAAATTTCAGTGCTGTCACTAAAGTGCAGTTAAGTTTTCAGAAAACTGCTTATAATGTTGTGTGTTGTGGCAAGCACAATAAAGCTCTTCCACTTAGCCAAGAAAACCTAGCCAGCTTATTTTTAAAGGAGGAGGAAAGTGGAGCACCTAGTGAGAACCCACAGAAACACAAGAGGAACATGCAAGCTCCACACAGCCAGATGCCAAAGGTCAGACTAGAACTAGAAGGAGTGTTAAACTCCACAGCAGCAAGCAGTCCATCTTAAAGACAACTCTCTAAACATGTAGGAGGAAAATCTGCATGACCAAATTTCAGTATTGCTGAAGCTTACAATGTAAAAACTTTAAATCTGTAGGCGAACATGCACAGTGAAGTTTATTTGACTGAGAAAAATTCCTCAGGTCAGGGGAGTCAAAGATCTGTATTTTCGCTTTAACTGGAGAAAATGCACACTACAATGAAAACGATTCACAACATGCTGACATCCAACATTAAAACACCAGGAAGGTCTGCAGGATCTTCCAGTGATGATAATAAAAGGTGAAGATTTTTTTCCATTAATGAAAAAGACTTTTAACACTACACTACACCATGTGGAAAACAATTGCTGCGTTGAGGCTTCAATGCTTGGCAGTTATCTGAAGTGCACTGCCATAACAGCAAAGAATCAGTAGAGAACGTGCTGGAGATCTTACAGCAATGTACTCTAGAATGTGTTCATTCCCCTCCCTGTCAAAGCAATGGGACTCCATGGCCTCAGAGAAGAACCAGAATGCTAGAATTTCTTTCTGACATGTGGAAGAATACGACAATATCAAACTTTCAAAACTATACTAGCAGCTTTGAGGGCAATGTAGTTATCAAAAAGTGGACATACAAAATATTAATATAAATTAAATGTATTTAAATAAATATATGAATACAAAGCCATATTACCTGTAATAAGAATGTATGTTTTTTGTTACATATTGTTTGCTTTTCAACAATTGCTTTTTTCCCCAATACTTTCTCTAAACAGGACTGAAGAACCTGTACGTAAAAAATAACATTAATTAAACATTAAAATGTTCTCAAGGTCCCCCGCAACCCTGAACTGGATGAAGAGGTTAGAAAATGGATGCATGTCCTCGAGGTATGACTAATCACGACCGATGGTAGCAGCTCGTGTGACTTATCGTAAATGAACAGATACATACCCCAAGTACTGCATATTCTGTGTAGAACACAGAACTTCAGCAAGTACTTGCATAGCCTCCACATCTAGCTTGTTGTCTCCAAGCCTAATGTGTAAAAGGGAAGAATAACAGGATATTAAGCTAAATATAAAGTGCACACTTTCTCAATTCACCCATTACGTATTGAAAGATACATCAGAGTTTACACGTTATACAGTATATCAGATATCAGAATATCTAATCTGGAGAAGGCACCTATTTTAGCAACACAAAATAAAAGACATACAGTAAATGATACATAAAATTATGTTTTTCATCTTAATTTGTTAGCACTGATTTTTCAGTTGAGAACGCTTAGGCAGAACCACAGTACACCAACACAAAGAGTGAAGATATAGAAACATTTGAAGTTCCTTTTTCACATTACAGTAGAATATTTTATTATGTAAATATGATGTATTACTAATCCTAATTTGTGTTGGAACACTTTTGTTCACAACTAACTAGTACTCTATGATCTAGCCATGAGGGAGATTATCAAACGACAAAATGTGTTGATTCCATTTTAGAAAACTGTCTTTCACAGCAATGCTGACCCAGCAATCTTAGTGATGTGATTATTGATTGACTGTACATTAGTACTGGTTTAGTAATTTTGAGAAATTGTAAGATTCTCCTGAGAATACACTTTAAGACAATTGCTATTTATTGAGCTTATTGCACTTTATTTTTACAGCTTAGTCCTTGGTAACACTGTTACAAATATGAAGGGAAAAAAAATAGTATTTAAAAATGCAAAGGAGCTACTTAGCTTGCACACTTACCAGAGCTTTTCACATCTGTACAAGAGGGGCTGTAGATCCCTAAGAGACTCTGTAGTAATGTTTGTTGCGGTTAAATCTAATTCTGCTATGTTTCCACTCACAAGGTTTAAGAAATATTTCACCACACCGAAGTCCATTGGAGAAAGGGGATCATCACTTACATTCACCCGCAACACCTTGGGATGGATGTTCTTTGCCAGCGAGCTGTTCTGTTGCTCAAAAAAACAATGCAGGTGATTTAAAATGTTAGCTCCAGTCTCACAGAGCGTTCTGATTTCATCTAACAGCCAGGGGACATAGAATTCTGATTTGCTCTTTCCCCTTAACTGTATATGCCTGGCGAGAAGACTTTGGTTTCGTTGGGAAAGCAGTCCAGAAAGAAATCTATTGAACAGGTCCAGGTATCCTGCACTCATCCCTTGTTGATGACAGACCTCAGAATCACGGACGTCTGGGTCAGGCTTTTCAACCAGCACATAATACAGAGCGGCAAAAAACTCCTGGACAGTTAAGTGTGTGAAGGAATAAATATCCACTGTGCAGTAGGGCTCTTGAACTGAGGTTTTATCGAGAAACGTACTCACAAAATCGCTGCCAGCCAACTGCTGCACTTCAGAGTCATTACCATAGAAGAGGGTTTCGTGCTGCAGCACTTTAACGTAAGCCAGGCGACCTAGGAGAACAACAGTCTCCGTAATTTCCTCCATGTTTCCTGAGCTGCTGCGGCAAGCGGTTACTGTCCTGCACTGAGTGTGAGACTTCAGCAAAACAACCAGATATTGCACATAAATGTCAGTCATGGTTTTGGGGCTTTCACTTGTGAGCCCTTTGCTTTCTTTCAAAATGCTACATATGATATAGCAGAAGGCCGGTATGTAACACAAGGTGAACATCAGGTCATTTGCCTTTGCCATATTAAGCATCGTCAGTGCTAACTCTTCATTCTGAAAGTACTTTAGAAAAAAGTCGTTTATTTCATTCACTGAGAAGCCGATGACAACTACAAAGCGGTCAATGCAGTCAATGGGAACGTAACTTATGGCTGTAGGTCTGCTAGTAAGCAGGACTGATGCCCCTGGAAGAAGCTCTCCTTGCATTAAGCTGGCAAATATATGCACCACATCTCCTGGTTGGTCATGCTCAGTAACATATTCCTCAATGTCACATTCCTTATAATGTTTAAACTCATCAAAGCCATCCAGAATGATCAACAGCTTGTCATCGTTGGATAATATATCGTCCAACATTTTGGTCAGGTGTCCATTTTTACGCAGAATCAAATCCCTCAAACTGATTGGCTTGCTGATCATGTTAAGGTCTCTGAAAGTCAAATGAATCACAAAGTCAAAAGCGAAATACCCCTGGTTATTTCCAACGTCACATAATATCTTCTGGACCAAGACCGTCTTCCCTATTCCAGCGACCCCCGTTATCAGAATTTTCTTTACAGGTCTCACACCATTCGTGAAGAACAGCTGTGCTGCGTTAATCAGCCTCTGCTCCACTGAATGATGTTGCAAGTGAATCCGTTGCTGTCCAAAGGCAAGAAGTTCATGCTTTTTATTTTCAATGCTGTGGTGTCCATTCACAATCAGAAGATTGACAAAATGCTCAGAAAACAAGATTTTCTCGCCATGCCGTGAGTTATAATACAGCATGCTTTCATTCCGGCGCTTAAGGACTTGTTTGTGTTTTTGTATTATTTTACTGTACTCTGAAAAATTGAAGAAGATGAAACTGAATTAGTAATCAAAGCCAATGCTTTCAGCAACTAGTTACCTAAAGGTTTTGGGTTCATTTTGAAGTATCAGTAACATACAGTATCTTGTTACATTGTTAGATTTTTTTGAGGTATTGAGTGAATTAATTGTTATCTCATGTTAAGCATGTTGATTCGTACGCTATTACAGTTTATGCACCCTAAAACATTTTAATTGAACACATATAAAACATTTCCCATCTGCTAAGGAAAATGTTAAGAGTTAAATTCTCCCAATATGATCAACTTTGAAATCCTTATTTTCATCAGAAGACTGCCACCGCAGCTACGCTTACAGTAGTGACCATGGCAACTACTAAATAAAAGCTGTTTACCCTCATCCCGAGCTTCCTTCTTCGGCTCAGCCGCGGCTTCTGTCTTGAGCTCATAGAGTTTGTTGTATGTCAAGAGGAACATGCCGGCAACTTCTTCGCCTTTGCAGTCGATGATGTCCAGAAGCTTGCGGATTCTCTTTCGAGGCCCCAGCTCACAGAGCACGTCCTCGCGGTCGTCCCTGGTAAATGCCTGCTTCAAAACCATCTCCTCCAGAAGGCCGTCAATGTGATCTTCGAGTTCATCCACGAGTGTTGCTCTGCGCTCTTTGAGCACCGTTAAGGAGCTCATTCTTGAACAGGGAGACACGGTACCGGTGGTACAGTATCAATCTCACACAGCTACTGCAGTTCTACAGTATATCCAAATCAGTTTCTCTCATTCGCTCCAATGGAACATCAGCATCAGGATGCTTTTCCCAGGAACATTACTCCAAAACGCTTGAAACAAGTTTTTACTCACCCCTTCCTTATGCCAGAGAAACAATTTATTTTGTTTCCAGGGCCTTTAGTAGAGAAGCATTTAGGAGAAAGGTAATCCTTAATCCAAACTCCCTGAGCCAACCGACTGGCTGACGCTTGAGAAAGAAGATAAAACAGAATTAGTTGACAACACACACAACCTGTCTGGCTTACGTAAGAGGCAGACGATATGAGGGAAAATTACATCACTACATCCCATCTCAATGTTTCATACTTTGCCCACTTCCCAAGAAAACTTGGTCAGTCTGAGGTTGGTTTACTTCCTCATCTTTTGATGGTTGTAAAAATGAGTAAATATAATCAACTGCACCTGCTCATTCACACAGTATATGAGGCAGATAAACATAACTGACACCAACAATGCACGTACAGGAAATTGAATAATCAGTGTCTTTTGACATTAGACCTTCACATAACCAGTGAGCAAAGTGGTCAAAGTCAATAAGAGTAGCACGCAGTTTTATTAGAGCTCTTCACAATGTGATGTTTATTATGTTTGAACAGAAAAAGACATTCATGTATTACCTAAATGCGTGTAGATTAATCTTACATGCAAAAAGTTCAGTTAAAAAGCATCTGTGTCTTAGATAAAGGCATCAATAACAATTTAGCATTTTTTGGTACAGAGACTGTATACAATACTTTATCTGTTTTTATTTTTTGTGTACTTCTTTTTTTGATGACTAAACCTTTAAAAATGTCTTTAAATATTACAAGCATTTGTTGACATTTAGTGAATTTTACGATGATTCTATTCTTTTTAGCGATGACCGAGGTTTGATTGCTTAAAGTTCAGTAAAAAAAAGCAATAATGTGTTTTCGCACACCCCAGATGAATGTGTATTGATACATCTTTCTATTAAATTATTTCTCAGAATATAAAAAAGGTTCCATACATGTGTTATCTGAAAGTTAGAATACTATCCTCATGATAAAACTGAAAAGTTTTTCTTAGATCAAATGGAAAAATAATCATTAAATAAACAGCCACACTGTAAAGATCCGCTTTCAGTAATAAAGGTCAACATTAAACAGTAACTGGGATCCTATTGATTTTTATGGAGGTATTGTGTGTGATAACACATCTCGTCTTGTTTATTTTGTATAGTGTGTTACGTGAGGTCAATGCAGGTAGGTTTTCATATTGGACGAAAGTCGGGCCAGGTGCGACACTCGGTGCCCACCAGGCAGTTTATCACAGACAAGTCAATCTGACTGCTGTCTACAGATATCACGTCCATTAACTATAAACTCTAAACCCATCTTACCAAGATTTCGTGAGGGATCACGCATTCGTTTATATTTTTTGCAACTGTTTTAGTAGTTGAAGTTCAACTCATGTGCCCCTTACTGCACACCGAGAAATTCTATTGCAAATTTTGCTCTTTAAATACTGTATAATACAATTGGGATTTTGTGGAAAACAGCGTATTTTTGTAGTGTTTTTTTATGTTTTCAAAATATCGAGTTTTAGAAAGTTTTTCAGATTTTATTGCGGCTTAGGAATTCAAACGCATTCTAGATTATTTCATAACCTTTACAGCTGAAGCTTTGCTGCATTACCTAGTTCTTCTTTCCATCATGACTTCACATAAAGGCGAAGTCGTCATTGCTATTTTTGTCGACAATCTAAAAGGGTTTTTCAACAATTTTGAAAACTACTATTGAAGCAACGCATGCTTACTTTCTTTCCGATTACTACCGTGTTGGTCAGATTTGTGCAAATCAGTCTTTAAAAATCAACTTGTAATTGAGTACTGTACCTACCTCTTGTATTGAATATCTAAAAAGGCAGCTTCTGCATCTTTCTTACTCTTTCAGCTCTCACTGTGCCTCCGATATCACAATTTCACCGTCACCTACAGTCGTTATGTGTCTCAGTAACTGGCGCATAATTACAAAGTAGCTCCGTTCGGTCTTCGCCCCTACAGACAGCTCCAATACTGCAGAACTAGAGGGAGGAAATCTACTTACGAGTAGTCAGGGAAGCGTTTTGACAACAGGTTGTATGCCTAACAGTATGCATGCGCAGGAGAAAACTGGGAACTAAGTTGTTTCATAAATTGAAATGTGAAGCAGTTATAACTGCTTCCCTCTAGAAGTGGTTCCTGTATCAGATCATCTTAATTATGAGAATTTTATTTTTTAACTCAAACTTGGTCAGAAGGATTTTGTTTTACTCACTCCAATACATCATTTTAAAGTCTATCAAACACTGCCCAGTCTTTGAAAATGAAAAAGTGAACGTAAGCATGATTCACGTTAAAATTACAGCAGACTTTTTTCTTTTCGCAGTATGGCACATAAATCAGAACACCCTCCTATTCCCCTTCTTTAGTAAGATGACCAGGGTTGTGTCATCAGATGTCTATTTGTGTTTGCTTTTACAATCGTTAGTTTACAAAATTACTTATCTGATGAGAGATTACTTATCTGATTATAAGGTTACTATAGAGTCTGCTAGATCCACCTACTTCTCTCACATCATTGAAAATCACCAAAACAACCCCA